AGCAATAACAAACAATAAAAATATTAAATATATAGGCTCCACCTCTCCACTTACTAGGCTTAAATATTGTATTGCTCTTTTGGGAAATAACAATTCAAAACTGCATGTCTCACATTTATGAAAACCCTACTGACAGTAATAGAGACCAGCTTGTCTTGGTTAGTCCCGCTGCCCCACACTGCTCTTCTTCAGGAGGATCTGATACAGACTAAATGAAGAGTTGATGTTACTTAGGTGCACAGACTGTGAGGAGGTGTAGCATTCTAACACCCCAGAGCTGGTTGGTGCACATGGGCTGTAAAATTGGGTCAGGTGCAGCCCTTTGTTAACAAGGGGGACAGGGCAGCACAGGCCTAAATGATTACAGAAATTAAGCAATTTCTCTTTATAAGCTGCTTCAAAAATCTTGATTTGGAGGTTTGGACATGGAATAAACCGCAGGATGGCAGCAACCTTTCAGTTGCTCAGATGATCCCAGCTACGTGAGTGTGACTGAGGCTTAACAGCAGTATATGGCCCTGATTAAGCAAAAAGGTAAACGAGAATACAGCTCAGTGCAGGCCAAAGGAGCACCTGGTCCACGGAGTTTCTCAGGCTGCAAAGCTTTCGTGGCGCTCCTGGTCTCTGATGTAGCAACTAGTCAATTACCTCATGTAGCTCCAACTTGAGAAAGTCGATTAATCTGATATTCTGTGTATAATTCAAAGATGTAGCACAATTGCTTGAAACCTTACATTGTAGAAGAAAAAAATGGCAAATTTTCAGAAGGTGATTTGATGTAAGTAATCAACAAGCATGAAAAAATCATAGACATTTTTCAATCTTAATTATTGTCTCAAGATTTTGGGTTTTTTAGAAGGGTGGCATATAATATAGTGTTACACAAGGAGGAATGACAGAGTAAGCTTTTAGAAAGATTAAAATAGCAATTGTGTGCAGGAAGAGTGAAAGAGTAAAGATTCTTAAAAAAAATTAAGTAACGTGTCATAGTTATCTACACAACAGGGACTGAGTTTCTAGATAAGCATTATGAATGTGAGAAACATTTCTAAGAGAATTTAAAACAATTAAGAATTTAGGATGTAGAAACGTCTGTTAGAATTGTTGAGTTAGATTCACAGACTAGGTGAACAATGCTCCGACAGAATTTAGAAGGAAATAATAGTGAAAGAGACAGGGCACGCCTACAGTTTGTTCACAGGGTTAGCAAGGGAGACATTTAAAATGACAATTTATTACACTGGAATATGGTAGGTACAAATATAGAGTTAGGTTTTAAACTTTATAGATAGGCTTCTAGTTATTGAGAATTCAATGAGAAATGAGTTTTTTACAATAATTATGGTAAGAAGTAATTAAAAGGTTAGAGATGTCAACAAATATTAGAGTGAGAGAAAGTAGACAGAAATTGGTGGATGAATAAATCAAAGTCCCAACACAGATATAGGAATAAAAGAGGAAGCTTAGAAGAAATATTCACCACATAATGGCTCCGAATGCCTTGAAATCTCCTGGGAAGAATGGAAGAGAATGAAATATGTAGCTTTGAGAGGAAGATCAAGTGAATGACTTCTACTAAAAAGCTGCACTCCTTTTCTTCCCTACCTCCACAAGAGTGCAGTCAGAAAGCAGACATTTACTAGAAACAAAAATATCCAAGGATATGTTGGAATTACACTGATCAGACTGCCTGGAGGCGTTAAGGCTTCTAGAGTGATATATGCAGCCAAGGAAAGCTTTTCTCCTTTTGGCATGTGTCCCCTCCAGATCAACAATCTCTTTCTACAGCCACAACATAAAGTTTATTCAATCAATCAGGCCGGCACACTGAGTTTTGTGAACTCCTAAACCAACCATCCCCTTTGCAGGAGAGGGCTGGAGCAGAAAGGAGGATATCTGAACCACAAAAGAAAAAAACAAGCATTTCCTACAATAAACCTGCCTTGATTCACCAAGTATCTATTGAATGTGACTCATTAAATCTCTGCCTTGATGGAATTTGCATCCTAATAAGGAGAGTCAGACAAAAACCATATAAATTAGTATGGTATTAGATGGGGGAAATACCAAGTAGGGGGAAAAGGAAAAAAAAAACAAGGCAAGGAAGGCAGCATAGGTAGAGAGAGGCAGTGAAGCTTTAGGAAGCAGAAAGCATTTGAATAAGAGCCTGAAAGCAGTGAGGGACTTGGTCTAAGGAGTAGAGTGTGGTCAGAGGGAACAGCCAGTGCAAACACCCTGGATTAGAGCATTCCAAGTGTGTTCCAGAGACAAAGAGGCTAGTGTGGCTGGAGAGGAGTTGAGCCAATGAGTCGGCAGGTGCACAGATCAGGAGTATAATGAGTTCCATTTCAGTGCACGTAAAAGAGAACAAACTCTATGGTTTATGTGATATCAAGAACAGGCAGAATATAAGTCTTTGAGATATATATAAACTATAGGTTATGTCCGGGGCGTGGTTGACTGTAAAAGGGCATGAGGAAATCCTTTGGAATTGGTCCCTATTTTGTTCAGCATGGTAGTCACATAGCTTTAGACATGTACAAAATTTTATCCATGGTATGTTGAAGATGAATTCACTCAACAGTCTTTTCTATATGTACATTTCACTTCCATAAGAAGTATATAAAAATATCAGGAGACAACAGTATAATATTGCCATATTATACCTAAGCCATCCCTAATAAAATTAATGTGTATTTATTGATTATGTTAAAAGATAGTAAGTAAATAAGTGTGCAGCAATATTTTTTTTATGCAAGTGACAATTACTTCATTTTTTTTCCTTTAAAACATTTTATGTAATCTGTTCACATATAAAACTTATGGCAAACTGAATTTCCATGCATAATTTAGCAGCATGGAATATGTCTAGTAGCAGGTATATATATCTATATATATTAATCATGGGCTGGGATTCAGCCCCCATTCACCCTGTTGGCCAGGCATTTGTGTTGGACATAACATGCACAGCATTACCAGTCATCCTTGTTTGAGTAAACTCCTAGTAATGCTTCAATATACATATATATATATATTTATATATATGCAGAGTTTATATATATATACATAAAGAGTAGAGTATACATACATTGGTTAAAATACTTTTGAATGCATTGAAAAATAAGTGCTCTTAATTTAAAACATTTTTTACACTTATTTGCATGATAACATGTTCGTTAGAGTTTAATTGATTTTAAATCTATTATTGTAGGGGCATTTTATTTGTTTATTTATTTTATTTATTTATTTTTTTTGTTTATTGCAGTACCATTGGTTTATAACATTGTATAAATTTCAGGTGTACATCATTATACTTCTATTTCTGCATAGATTACATCATGTTCACCACCCAAATACTAATTACAACCCATCACCACACACATGTACCGAATTATCCCTTTCACCCTCCTCCCTCCCCCCTTCCCCTCTGGTAACCACCAATCCAATCTCTGTCTCTATGTGTTTGTTTGTTGCTGTTATTATCTACTACTTAATGAGGAGGTATTTGACCTCCCTCTGACTTATTTCACTTTGCATAATACCCTCAGTGTCCATCCATGTTGTCACAAATGGCTGGATTTCATCATTTCTTATGGCTGAGTAGTATTCCCTTGTGTATATATACCACATCTTCTTTATCTATTCGTCCTGTAGGGCCATTTTAAATGGTACTGGGCTAATATGATTACTTTTGCTAGATATTAATACAAAACAGGTAAGATAATGCATAATAATATCATGTTTTGAATCAGTTTTTGTCAAATAAAATGCACAATTTTAATAAATTTGGTAGAACCACAAGGAAATTTTTTATTCTCCAAAAGTTAAGATAAAAATATCAAGACACTTGTCTAAATTACTCCCAGAAGAGGAATAGCCCATGAAAAGGGATAGAAAGGAAGCCAATGCCTTGACCATTAAAGAGAGTCAAGAGAAAGGAGAGAAAGAGAGGCAAGAGAGAAGAAAAGAAAGAGGTGAGAATATAGAAAAATAAAAATATGCTACTGTGTAGCTAAAGAAATCCTGTGGAAGAGTCTTGTAAAGGAAATGGAAGATTGATTTTATATAAACTAGAATAATCTAAAGACAAAGTCTCTCTTCCCTCCAACAGTATTTATTTATTAAAACATTTATATGGTACAAACTATATTCCAGGTAATGTTCACACACTATGAATGTGATCTCAGTCTTAGGAACACCCTACAATATAAATATTAACAAATATCAAAAATTACAGAGTAGAAAATAAGACTTGCAAAAATTAATTATCTAAGGTGTGTGACCAAAATAATCTATTCCAGATATTTGAACTATGCTCTTGCACTCTCCTCTAGTTTGCTCTGCACTAAAATGGCATATACCAGAATGTCTCGTGGATACACTCATTTTAAGAGATGGAATAAAGGATGGGCAAATTGGTGAGGAACTACTTCCACTACAACTCACCATTATTAACAATAAATATTATTTAATAGACTTCTGATTGATGATTTCTCAATGTCTTCTGTTGACCAGGCATTTGACTAACCCTATCTCATTTTCAGTGGCGCATGCTTCCCCCTACACTTTGGTAGATAGAATTGTTATTAGTGTCATGGTGTGATATTCTAAGTTCCATGGAAAATGCCATTGATTTCCCAGCATTTCATGAGTCTTATGACTTTTAGTGTATTTCTGAAGGGATGATCTGCAGTACATATTTGAGTTGACTGGCTGCTAAAATTAGATTATATGCAATTTTGGCAACCTCCTATGGCCTAATGATAAAACTTTTTATGTCTGTTAGCTAATGTGCTTTATATTTAAAATTGCATCAAGATAAAAATAAGCTTTAATATTACTAGTCTATGAATTAAAAAAATTGATGTCCAGAGAAATAATTTTTCATATGTACAAAATATTGTAAGTGTGATGATCTAGGCTGGAAGTCCTTGACACTTCCATAATACAATCCTGGCTATTTCTCACGTGTTGTGTTCTCCACAGTGAATATATTCATCATGGCATGGGAAAATCAGACTTTCAACTCTGATTTCATCCTGCTGGGAATCTTCAATCACAGCCCCACCCACATCTTCCTCTTCTCTCTGGTCTTGGGCATCTTCACAGTGGCCTTCATGGGAAACACAGCCATGGTTCTCCTCATCTACCTGGACACCCAGCTCCACACACCCATGTACTTCCTCCTCAGCCAACTCTCCCTCATGGACCTCATGCTCATCTGCACTACTGTACCCAAGATGGCCTTCAACTATTTGTCTGGCAAGAAGTCCATCTCTTTGGCTGGTTGTGGTGCCCAGATATTCTTATATGTGTCCCTGCTTGGAGCTGAATGTTTCCTGTTGGCTGCAATGGCCTATGATCGTTATGTCGCCATTTGCCACCCGTTACGATACTCAGTTCTCATGAGCCAGAAAACCTGTGGTCTTATGGCTGTTTCTTCCTGGATTTTTGGCTCCCTTGATGGTATAATTGTCATTGCTGTTGCATTGTCCTTTTCATATTGTAGTGCCTGGGAAATACCCCATTTTTTCTGTGATGTCCCAGCCCTTCTCACTCTCTCATGCACTAACACATTGCTATTTGAAAGGCTAATGTTTATTTGCTGTGTAATTATGCTTCTCCTACCTGTAGCAGTCATTATTGCTTCCTATACTCATGTTATTCTGGCTGTCATTCGCATGGGGTCAGGGGAAGGTCGCCGCAAAGCTTTCACCACCTGTTCCTCCCACCTCATGGTGGTGGGAATGTACTATGGAGCTGCCATGTTCATATACATGCGGCCTGTTTCTGATCGTTCCCCCACCCAGGACAAGATGGTGTCAGCCTTCTACACCATCCTCACTCCCACGCTGAATCCCCTCATCTACAGCCTCCGCAACAAGGAAGTGGCCAGAGCTTTCATGAAGGCGTTAGGGAAGGGCAAATCTGGAGAGCAAATTGCCTAGATTTATAGGTAAGCACACAAGACTTTGAAAGTGGAAAACTATCGCATGCTTGTTTGTTCAAATATTATATTTCTTTTGCTATGGAAATTCAAAGTATGGCTATAAGTAAATATTTGCTGCAAGACAATATGAACAACTGTATACTTTGTTTTACATAACACCAGTTAACAAATGAGAGGTATTTACCCATCACGATACCACATGATACCATAATACCACAGAGCACAGTAAACGTTCTGTGTTTTAACATATAATAGTTTTACCTTTGGCCAATCAAAGAGTTCTGCCGAGTTCAATATCATATCTTGGATTGACCGATTTGTTAAAATGAATGACAAAGTTAATTATATACAAAGTTATAGCTATATTTACAAGATGGTTATAAGATTTAATAAAATACCCAGATAGAGAACAGAGGTATTGGATTGGTGGTCAAGATTTTGGAGCCTATCTTGTAATGGACACTGTCCCTCTTCAGGATACTGGAGGACTGGGGAGCTCCCATCTATTTCCTTTTTCTACAGAAATCAGCCTTATACATGGGAGACCGATATGTGAATATGAATCCTCAAAGTTTGGACTTTTCATCTTCAGATATCTTGATCCTTACTTATCAATGTCATGTTTTCATCATGTAATTCATAACTCCTAAATCACAAAATCTGTTTGCCTGACAGTGTTGTAATTGGTTCTAATTCTGTTTTCATTTAGAAGATAAAAACAACAACAAACACCTAGAGACAGAGATTGGATTGGGGGTTACCAGAGGGGGAAGCAGTGGGGAGGAGGGCGAAAGTGATGATTAGGCACATGTGTGTGGTGATGGGTTGTAATTAGCATTTGGGTGGCAAACACGATGTAATGTATGCAGAAATAGAAGTATAATGATGTACATCTGAAATTTATACAATGGTATAAACCAATGTGATCACAATAAAATTAAAAATAATAATAAATAAATAAGAAAATTAAAAAAAAAGAAAATATGGACTTCTTGAGAGTTCATGTTCAGTCCAGTTATTGCCAGATCTTAGGTACTATTTCTTCAAAACCCTTATCAACAAATAGGCAAAGCTACCCACTTTTTTCACCTGCACATATATGAAGAATATAAGGTATGGTTGGACCACAGTTTTGTTTCTAATCATTTCCTCACTTTGATTCTATCACTTTTACATAGTGGGAAAATTCTGTTTTCTTATCTTTAAACATACACATTAACTAGAAGAATTTAAGTACAAACTACATCCTCTAGTTCCATGTCGGCTGAGATGCTTTCCTATGGTGTGCTTGGTTTTCCTACCTCAAAATTCCTTCCTTTTTTCTTGCCTCACTCCTTTACTTCTTCCTTTCCTTCTTTCTTTACTTATTCACTCATTCCCAAACTTTCTTTATTTCTACATCTGTCACCTCCTAATAACAACTTCTTTACATCTTTCTTCAGTCCCTACCTTCCCTCTCCCACCCACCCATTGTCTTTTTTTTTCTCCTGAGGAAGATTAACCCTGAGTTAACATCTATGTCAGTCTTCCTCCACTTTATATTTGGGTCACCACCACTTCATGGCTGATGAGTGGTATATGTCCACACTCGGGATCCGAACCTGCAAACCCAGGCTGCTGAAGCGGAGTGCACCAAACTGAACCACTATGCTATGGGGCCGGCCTCATCCACCCATTGTCTTTTAACTGACTATTCCACATTCACAATATACCTTTCTCATTTTTGCCTTCATATCTTTGTTCATGCTGCCAAAGAGATTCTCATATAGAAAAGTGTGCACAGATGTTTATAAGGTTGATTTATGGTTAAATACCCTGAAATTGGTCTAATAATTAACTTGTGAGTGTTTATTGGAGGCTTTGAGCCAGGCAGTGATGTATGGAGGGTGGTATATAAAAAGCCTAGTAGTTATTTTTAAGAGAGACATTGTCTAGCGTTGGCGTACATTATGGAAGCAAAAGGTAGTAATATTCAGTTGGTGGGGAAAAATTTAAAATAAGAGGGAGGATATGGACAGCACAGTAAAGGTAGAATAAAGGAAGAAGGAGTAGGAGGAAGGGGAGAAGAAGGAAAAAGAGGAGGAGGGGATAGAGGCTAACTCTGGGGCTGCATACATAGATGGTGTAAAGAAGGTAATGAGTTTATTTTTAGGCCACTTGTGTTTGAAGTTCTGTGGGCACAAAAGAAGATACTTAAAACTTGTTGCTGAATGTGCAATAATAAGCTTCAGGGTATAATTCTGAGATCAGAGATTAAGATTTAGAAAACATCATGGAAAACAATGAGAACACTGAAGGGAGTCACAAATTAAGAAAAATAATGTTCATTACACAACTGAAGATCAACATTACATAGAAGAATTTAGGTTAAGAGCAATATATATATATATGCATACGTATACATATATATATATATACAATCATCTCAGAAGTATATATATTTTAGGAATAAGGTATAGAAGCAAATATACAAATTGTAGGTATAGGTTAAAAAATTGAACTTATTTAGAATTTAAGGGCATTATTCTTTGTTATGCAGCTAATAGAGGGAATATCTATATGAAAACTTGACCTTGTATATGCCATTAATATTATTTACCCCTCAGTTATCTCATCTGTATAATTGAGATAATGTAATAATAATAATAACAACCTTCCTATCTACTTTACCTTCCTAGACTTTACAGATCTATTGTGATAAAATATAGCATTTAGCACATAATAAAGTACCACAATAATATTTTTATTTTATCTTTTCCCAATTTGATGTACAACCTGAAACTAATATGATATTGAACGTCAATTATGCTTCAATAAAAAAGTGCTCCCGGAGCTGGCCTGGTGGCATAGAGGTTAAGTTCACATGCTCCACTTCAGTGGCCTGGGGTTTGCAGGTTCGGATCCTAAACATGGACCTATGCACCAAGCCATGCTGTGGCAGGCGTCCCACATATAAAGTAGAGGAAGATGGCACAGATGTTAGCCCAGGGCCAATCTTCCTCAGCAAAAAGAGGAGGACCAGCAACAGATGTGATCTCGTGGCTAATTGTCCTCACCAAAAAAAAGAAAAAAGAAAGGCCCCTATTATGCTATTTTAATTTACTTCTCTAACTTTATGTTTATTCATTGAATGTGTTTTTACCTCATCAAAGCTGTTAGTCATTCAAAATCACTTAATATGGATTTATCTCTGTAATGTCTTGCAAAGAAAAGATGCTCTCAAATATTTATTGAATATTTCACATTTGAAAATTAATAATGGCTTAAAACACTTATTTTCAATAAGATACAAATGTAAAAATTTGAGTGAAGCAACCATCAGTCTTTAAAATAAGATTTAAAAATTGTTTCCTTTTCAATTCTGTGTAAATTAAACCTATTTATAGCCTTACTTGTGAATCAATTTTATTTTAACAATATGTGAGATATTGACACTATAATCTTGGATTAAAGGGGTAGAAATTTAGATGACTTGGAAAGTGAACAGGAGAGTTCTGTTTAGATTTCTTTTTACCTCTCTTGTGGACAGAGCCCCAGAAAAAGGTGATGGTGCTGCAGCTCTTCTAAACAGAGAGTCTAAGGGAGACAAGTGAGACAGGGTGGCATATGATGAAATAAAACATCTAAAGTACAGAATATAAAATTTATTAGAAGAAAATACAGTGGAAAAGGGACAGCAGAATTTGCTGTTTTAAAGAACTGGTAGTATGAATAATAAACTCAAACACTTAAGTGTATTAATATTTATGTTTTTAAAGTAGCCAAACATTATGCAAGAACTACCATTCTTGACATACATGTCCCAACCATCTCTCCACTTATTCTTTCCGATTTATGACAGCCTCTCAGCAAGCCCACTCTCAAGGTGAGAGCTTCCTCCACTTCTTGTCTCAGATCTAGGATCTGAGCTCCAGGGAGTTTTACCTGGGCCCCCAGGTGAGGTCATGACACCTCAGATTCTCACAACTTTCTACAGTTACCCTATGAAAATTAAGGACCAAATCACTCACAGCTTAATTCAATTTTTTAAATTAGTATATTTTTAAACACACATCTCCTTCATTAAAATATGAACTAGGTAGAGATTATAACGTTTAGTTGACTTATAACTTTGGCACAGCTGATACTCCAAATATATGTTGTGTTAACAAAGGGTAATTACTAATGATGGCTATTATTGATCATTTGAAAATTACAGAAGTTCTCAAACCACAGAAAAGTTTACATGAAAAGATGGAACTGAGAAGACTGATGTGATAGGACCCAGAGAGCACAGGATGCCACACACAAAATGTTAAAATTGGCTCCAGTTGGCTGTATGGTAAACCAGATTATTGAACAATAGTTCCTAATAAAAAAATAAGAAGGCATTTTTAATGCCTTATTTTTAATGATACTTAAAACAAACTTGAACAAAATTTGCTAAATATGATATTTCCATGGAGCAAACAAAAGAAGATAAAAATTAAAAGCAAGAAATGTGAAAACAGGAAGAGTAAATTTAAGGATACAAATAAAATAGATCATATCAGTTTTCACAGGTAATTTCAATGTCTTAAATTGCTTATTAAAAGGCAACATTGGGGCCGTCCCAGTGGCTTAGCAGTTAAATGCGTGCGCTCCGCTACTGGTGGCCCAGGGTTCGGATCCCAGGCGCACACCGACGTACCGCTTCTCCGGCCATGCTGAGGCCACGTCCCACATACAGCAACTAGAAGGATGTGCAACTATGACGTACAACTATCTACTGGGGCTTTG